AGCCTAAGGATTATTAGGAAGGGGTGAGTAAAACCCCACACACCCCCCAACAGAGATGGCGGGTGTGGGTATTTGGGGGAGTTATAGTCCATACATCTTAAAGTTGATAAGGTTGAGGAACCCTGCTCTGGGTCAACCCCAAGCATCAAAAGTAGACCTTTCAGGAGCTGGACAGGTGCCTCTTGTAGTGAGACGTTGCAGAAGATGGACTGATTTGCACAGAGTAACACGACCCACATCCTCAGTGGCCTCCCTTCCTTTCCCTTTCAGGAGCTGAACGGACTCCCCCCTGGGAGCACGTGCTTTTCACCGCCTGCCATAACAAGCATCTGCAGCTCCCGGCTTCTTGCCGCCGGTTGCACTCGTGGGCCGATGACTGGAAGGCCATCTTGGACAGCAAGCGAGGCTGCTAAAGCCGGGAGCGTTTCTCAGCAGGGCCAGCAAAAGGCAGGTCTGGTTGCCTGAAGGCCATCTTCTTGAGTTGGTGGGCAGGAAAAAGAAGACCCTGTCTTTGGTTTGGGCCGGCAGATGAGAAAGAAGAGCCGTGGCCCCAAAGGGCAGCCAGATTTTGCAGCTAAAGGAAAACTCATCGAGTTTCCATGGGAGGGTCAGTGGCGTTGGCCAAGTCCCCAACAATGCTGAGGACCTCTCTGATCAGCCTGACTCATGATGGTTTCCAACCCCTGGTTGACTTTCTATGTGTCTTCCTTCAAGATGGTGGCCATCCTTGCCCCTGGCCCCAACGGATGGACAGGCCTCTGCTTCTGGAACTCAAATGACCCTTGTTGCAATGAACTTGTGAGAAATGTTCCAGGACACAAGGTGATGGAGAAGTTGTCGCCTCCTGACCTCACATGCCTAGCCAGGATCTCACATGCACGTGTGAGTTTGCTGCACTGATTCACCCTGAAAGCTCTGTGGGGGGCAGAACCTGATTTCAGAGCTTTCCAAATTCCAGGGAGGGTTGGGGTCAAAAAAGTCCAGATGGATCTGCCACCATGCATGTCAGCTCCATGCATCACGATGCACAAAAAACAGACAAGTCTTCAATTCACTGTTGTAGCTGCCATAACCTCAACTGTTCTGTGGGGCAAAAAGGCCATTGGTATGTCCAGTGGACCCTAATGTCCACAAACAGCAATGGAAGAAGTACACAGGTAAGCTCCAAGTATCCTGTTTTGTAGGCCTTCAGAACTATCCTTTTTTTCCCCCCTGGACACCATGCTGATCTGGTCATTTCTGGGGGCATCTGAAAGTTTTCTGAGAGTAAATGGAGGATTTATTTGTGGACAGTTTTTGGAGCAACCCCAGAACTGGCAAATGAGTATGGGCTGGGAGAAACAGAAAGTTTTCTGAAGTTCTCCAGAACTTGCATCTCTGAAATGAGACACTTTGCACATCCCTAAGATCCACCTGTGTTGACTCTGCACTCCATCCTTCAGGTAGAGATTCACTTGTGGCAATACACGTCTGTTCCTTGTTCATATCTCTCTTAATGTGGAACCTTCACACGGTCACTAGAAGATTCTAATACTGGCCTGCTAGTGTTCCCTTCTCTGCACTAAGTTTTGTTGTTGTTCAGTCGTGTCCGACTCTTCGTGACCCCATGAACCATATCGCGCCAGGCCTTCCTGTCCTTCACTGCCTCCCTGAGTTTGCTCAGTTTCATGCTCATTGCTTCAGTGATGCCATCTAACCATCTCATCCTCTGCCGTCCTCTTCTCCTTTTGCCTTCCATCTTTCCCAGCATCAGGGTCTTCTCCAAAGACTAGTCTCTTCGCATTAGGTGACCAAAGTATCTGAGCGTGAGCTTCAGTATCCTTCCAGTGAGCAGTCAGGGTTGATTTCCTTTAAGACTGACTGGTTTGACCTCCTAGCAGTCCAGGGGACTCTCAAGAGTCTTCTCCAGCACCACAGTTCAAAGGCATCAATTCTTCGGCGCTCAGCCTTCTTGATGGTCCAGCTCTCACAGCCATCTGCACTAAGTTACAGAAGACCAAACCTCAAAGTACTACAGTCTGTGAACAGGTTAATCCATCCATCTTGTAGTCAACAACAAATAGGCTCTCACTTGATCTGGGAGTAAGCTTGTCCTAACATTTGGATCTCATCAATGTTGGGGTGTGGTGTGAAACACTTTATACTCCTGTAGAAAACTTCAGCCAGACCCATTTTTTCCCCAGATTCAAACTGGTCCACATGTCAACCTCTCTCTTGGTTTGGGAGTTTCTGAAATGTTCAAATGACTTGCTTATGACTCTCCCCAGATCTCACCTGACAAACCAGGATGTGATTGACATTGATGCATGGAGGGCACAGGGATGAGCAGGATTTATGCCTCCCCCCCATGTACGCACAATATTTGGTCTATTTATTTAATCTGAATGTGTTTAGCACTGGATATCTGCATACTTTTATTGTGCAAATACAACCAGCAATTCCTGCTTGAGATACCAATCCTGTCTTGCATTTTGTAATACGCTGTATGGATGGATGGCGTTGCAAAGTAGCTCCCAGCACCTTCACTTACGCACGTAATGAACATGGCACCACACGAGCACCAGCAGATGTGGAGGAAACCTCAAGATTTGCCAGAGAATTTTTAAAAATATTTCGGGAAAGAATCCTCAGAGGAGAGAGGAATCCTCCAAGGCCTTCTGAGAACCAAATGCACTTTGTAGTTACTGATTTACCATTAAAGTTGGAAAAGGAGTCGGGGAAGATTTACACACACACGTACATGCGTAATCGTCAGCAAAGACAAGTGTTTTGTCTGAATAATTCTTTTTCCTGGCTTCCCGCTGGAAAGGTATTCTTTAGGCATCTTTACCAAGGGCTGTCCAAAGGAGCGGGTTTAAAAAAAAAATCAGTATGTTGCCAAATTAGGGTTGGTATTTTCCGCAGACCCATTCAGCTCCCACAACGGCTCTTGTTAAAAGCAAGAAAGTAGTTGTAATTGGGGGGGGGATCAGAAGAGCTGGTGGAATGGAAAAGAAAACACAGGAGTTTTGTACAGGAAAACAGGATGATGATGATGATGATGATGATGATGATGTATATGCCATGTGACTCTGAGAGGTCTGCAGAAGCATACAAAATGGGGAGGGGGGTGTAAGAAGGGTTCCCCTGAGCATATTTGCTTTTCTTTTGGAAAGCAAAGCCAAGAGAGTTTGAGCTTTCATTGATTAATTTCTATTTATTTATTCCATTTATCTCGCTGCCCGTCTCCCATCTGTGACTCTGCGCGGCTTTACAATTAAACATAGACAATACCAGCTCCCCCCCCACAATAAAATAGCCACGCAAACATTACGAAACATAATTAAAACAATTAAAAACCATATCACACAATCCCTGGAAGAGCCCGGTCCATTCAAGAGCAGTGCCACGGTTTACGGCAGGTAACTCTTCATAAATATAGCCGCACCCATTCTGACTATTCAAGGCGACCACGCTTTCCATGGAAGCAAAGTCTGGTGGCATCTTAAAACAGCTGGATCGTGGCATCCACAGGCTAGAATGCGCTTCCCCGACCTGTCCCTGCTCATCCACTGGAGCGTCTGGCGAGACGGCCGAGCTAAATGCATTCTCTTAGATTGTGTGGTCTCCACTCATCGACTGGGTCACGGGGAATTCTTCTCCTTCAGAGTCCTATCGAGAAGAGGGAAAGGGTTCGAGACCAAACTAAGCCTTGTCTGGGTCAAGGTCCTCTCCTGATGACTTCATGGACACGTTCTCTACAACCACGCTGGAGAGGTTTGCTGTTTCCTTTTATTTCCAGGTTATATTTTCTCCCCAATCTACCCCTGGTTCTGGAGTCTGCAGGTATCCCCCTATCTAACCAGACCTAAGTTCCCAAGATCAACCAAAGTCAGCTCGAGGCTGCCAGTGGAGTCAGTTCTGAACATGCACAATGTGCTAAATCTTGACATCTGCCACCAGAGAGCAATCTAAGCCAAGATTTTATCTCCTTTTTCTTTCCCGGGGATGGGGAGGACCAAATCCCAGGGAGGTCCAATTCCAAGCTGGCAGAAACGTGAAACCATTTTCTGAAGTCCTGTTTTTCATCTCAAAGCCTTGTGCAAACATCGATGGAAGGAGGATCAACCCCTTACTCCATCCCACCTCCATAACTGACTGCCTGTCTATGGTCAGAGGTAATGTGGGGAGACTCTCTCCAAAAGAGCTGCACAGCCACCTATCCTGGCCAGAGATTGAGCAAACCCCCTTGATGACGGAGGGTCGCTAACAGAGGTTTTAAAACTGAAGCAGGTGAGGAAGGTGATGCTGGGGCCGGGAAAGAGGGAAAGAAAGAAAGAAAGAAAAAAATCAGGAGGGGGCAGGCAGAACCTTTTCCAACTAACACATTTTACTCAAAGCATTTGTGTTTCTCCGTTGCAGCTCCTGAAAGCTTCTGCCTTTGCATAAAATGTGCTGGAAAAAGAAGCCAGAAGCCAGATTCTTAATGTTTGGCTTCTGTAGATTAACCCAGCTCTCCTCCTACAATATCTACAGAGAGAGAGAGTTGAAGTCCACGTGTCTTAAAGTGGCCAAGGTTGAGAAACACCACGCAAGGGAATAATGACACCCGATTGATTCCCCCTTTTTTTTTAACCTAACAGTACTGTTATTTTCTTCAGAGCGGTTGTTTCATCATTCTATTTCCCTTCCCAATGTCCTGGCCCCGGGCAACTCAGGGCGGGCAGGTCACCCTTGCAAGAGGGAAGCCGTACGCTCCACCCGCAACTCCTTGCACCCTCCCTACGTCAGTGGTCACAAGGACCGATTACACCGGGGGGCCATTGGTGCCAGACTTTGGTGCAAGCTACACTTTAGGGCAAAAGCTGTCATGCAGGGCTCAGCTGACCTCCTTAGAAGAGTCGCGCGACACCTCGAGAAATCGGGCAGGTGCCTTTTCCAACCTCCCATGCTTCATTTTTCGGATTTCGGCAAGTCCGGGGCTGTTCAAAGCCACCCTGTGTGCAAAGCCGTTTGTGAGCATCCACACGCACCCCATTCCCCAAATTATTCCTCATCACTCAAACCCCTTTTCCAAATAATACCAGGTGGTATCGCATACCCGCTGAAGCAGGGAGTGTTAATTAAAGTCCATAAGTTTCCTCTTTTTGGGAAAAAAAAATTAAATGAATAGTACTCTGAAGCTTCCAGGCAGAGGCAGCCAGTGGGGCAGGGTCAAAAAAGTCAACATGGCTGTCATGAACCCATGATGGTTTTTGCCCCTTGCTCACCCCCCCATGCCCTGTTTGCAGTTGGCAAAGCAGCTTTTTAAATTCACATGGGCATCCCGATCAGGAGTCTGGTTACCCCCTTTTCCAACTAACAAATCTTATTAAAAGGTGGGGAACGAAACTTAAAGAAAAGATCACTTAAAATTCCTGATCTTTTTTTCCTTTTTGTTTTAAACTCAAGTGATTTATGCACCTCTGGGACCTGCTTTATCTTTCCAGCTTTGGGCAAAAATATATTTTTTCTTCAGGCATTCTTCTACTGTCGTTTCGAACGACATGCGGTTGATTTCAGCTGTTTGCATTGTACCAGGACGTGGCTCGTCTGCATTGTTATAATACCCTCCCGTCCTACCGATCCAGATATTTACTGTTTTATGGTTTTATGGCTTCTACTGGTTTTGCAATCCACAGAGAGAATTTTGGCTATTTGACAAAGAACGACTGATCTTTTTCATCATAAATACACCCGTGGGCAGCCTTCTGGCAAGCAGGGGAATTAAGTCTCCGAAAAAGATTTTAGCAAAGAAGCAGAAATGTTGGGTGGCTTTTGAACAGTTTGAACAGTGGAATCTCCTGGTGCCTTGCTTTTCTGCTCCTTGTCTGAAAAGGCTAGAGAGGATGCATATATTTAGACAAATAATATAGCTCGGCGTTTCTCAACCTTAGCAACTTTAAGATGGGTGGACTTCAATTCCCAGAATTCCCCAGCCAGCAATGCTGTGTGGGGGATATTTGGTGTTTGTGGTCGCACCTCTTTAATTTTTTTATGGATG